CATTGGTGACATTGATGAGAGTGTAACACACATTCTCCGCAGCTGTCATGATGTCAGCTCTTTTTCTCTTCACTAGACTCAGTCAGAGAGTGCCTATGAGGTTTCCTGAAACACAGGTTACAACACATCACCAGGTCAAGAAAATATGATCATATTACCCCAATTTTACAGTCTCTGCACTGGCTACCTATTAAGTTCCGTATCAGTTACAAAATATTATTACTTGCCTATTAGGCCCTTAATGTGTTAGCTCCTGCGTACCTAACTAGTCTTCTACCACGCTACAATCCATCACGCTCCCTAAGGTCGCAAAACTCTGGACTTTTGGTAGTACCTAGGATAGCAAAGTCCACTAAAGGAGGTAGAGCTTTTTTGCATTTGGCTCCCAAACTCTGGAATAGCCTTCCTGATACCGTTCGGAGTTCAGACACACTCTCTCTGTTTAAATCTAGATTAAAGACACATCTCTTTGGCCAAGCATTCAAATAATGCATCTCATAATCTTGTACTGCAGTAATATCTGATCAAATGCACATTATTATTCTTTAGTTTGGGTTAAACAAATCATTTTTGCTTGGTTGGAAGAGCAGCTACGCTAATTATGTCTCTATTTGTTTCTCTGTTTTTTTGCCACAGGATGTAACTAGGATTGACACAAGCTTCAGTCTGGATCCAGAACACCTGAGAAGAGATGATGCAAGCCCTCAGAGGACCTCAGATGATGCCAACCCTGAAACAACATACAGAACTACCACATTTTGCTATAAGTTTGATTGCATCTTATAATAATTGCTGTTAATAGTGTTCATCGTCTGTTTGATTACGTCTTTAATTGATTTCTCCGTACATTTCTGCCATGTGTACATTAACTGACAGTCACCACTGATAAGCTACCACTAAATATTGTAGAAACTTAATTTGCTGTAAAGTTGCTTTGCAATGATTTGTATGGTGAAAAGCGCTGTACAAATAAACTTGACTTGAACTGAATTGAATCACTAAAAGTTCAAATGAATAGTCAATTATATGACATTGTGACAAATCTATTGGTGTGATGTATATTGTTTGGTAGTTTTATGTTCATTCATGCATCTGCATAAAGTGACCAGAGCACTGGCTCAAAGCGCTATATAAATGAACATTATTTAGTAGTAGTAATAGTAACTGTCAATTGTATGTCACAGCAAGTCATCCCATGCCAACTTAGTGTTGCCCTGCACCATGCAGAATAAAGTGTACATAATGTCAATGATATTACTCAAAGTGCTATTCATTTTTATATGTAAAGCTTGTTGCTATCAGCAAAAAATACATAGTGCACCTTTAAATGATGACCATTTCTGAGCACCTTGCATTTACGTGCCATTTCAAAGTACTATAGAGAACACTATGGTACTTCCACGATATATATGCAACTACATGAAGCAGAGACAAACTATAAATGCACTGCTGTTTAATAACACATCTTGATAACAACACAGTTAATACAATACAGCTAAATAACTGATTGCGCGATCAGTCGACATCACTGCTACAGTAGCAGCTAGCACGCTAACTTAACTGTCTGCGATAAAACCGAGCACAGACAACCAGTGCTTCCGTGCTCGAAGCAACTCAAAATAACAACTTTTATTAATGTGCTCTCTTGTAAAGCTGCTAATTTATTACCTTTTAAACAGGTCTTAGGCCTCTCTCTTCTTCCGTATGCGCATCCGTGTCTGGAGAGACTCTTCCATATGACGTGGAACCTGACTGACTTGGCCACATCAATACTACAGCGAGCCAGACGGTTCAAACCACGCGGAGCGTTACGCAAACGCGAAAGTTTGTTGCAGAGCGATACAGTATGTTCGTGTCTGGAGCTGTGTATGTGTTTGTGATTATGTTGAGCTTGTTTATGCTTAATTTTCCCTGTGTTAGTCGAGATGTATAAGGAAAAATTACAACCGAATGTCTGAAGCGAAAAGGTTAAACAACACACAAACTATTCGAAATTATTGATGTGAAACGGGGTTTTTAATAGTTAACTAAACCTAAAGCCATTACAAATAAATAAATAGAATTTTTTTTCCCAAATATAATAACATTGGACTATTAATTGTTATGTATTATATTTACATTTACAACATTTGAGAAAATGGATATAAATATTGAATGATAACATTTTAAAGGGATTTTAAATAGGCCCATTAAAGGAGAATTTATTGTATAGGCCCTGCTGTTGTTCTGATGCACATATAGGCCTACCTCTGTTGGGAAATGTTATAAATTTATTATATAATACAACTTATATAACATATGTTTAATCAAATTACACTGTAGGAAAATCTGTAGAAAAATGGAAAAGATTCTGCCAGGACACTTTCCATTCAGTTTACAGACTTTGCCTGTAACAAAACACAACACCGTATAACACGTAGTTCAAAATACAGGGAAAACACCTATGAAAATTCAATACAGACCTTCATATCTTCATATTAACACCGTACAGCTAACCCTATTTTTAAATCCTTTTTTTTTACTCATATGTACATATACATTTGTGTATGCATATAATGTCATAGCCTCCAGCTGGACAGTTCTATAAAAATTAGAAGATACATTATGATCCTCACATGAGAATGACTGATGGTTTTATTGCCTTGTCTACTCAACCACTTGTGCAGTTGGAATCATGGAAAAGCTCTTAAGATAGCTGTGGGGTTTGCAGCACAGAAGTAAAGTAAATGAGCTCAGTTTCAATGCATTATGGAACCAGCATTAGTCTCCATCATTTGAGATCATAATTGAACCATAATGCGAGAACCACAATTTCAAACCAATTTTCCAGCCAAGTGCATGAATTGTTCTTGCTCACCATATGGGATAAATAAATTACGTTTTCATAAACTTCTATATCTGGATCTTTTTACAAATGTGAGTCATTTTAAGACCATCAAACAAACCTATCTTTGTGTTCATGCTGTAAAGGAAAGACCACATCTTAGTTCAGAAAACAGCTTCTTTTTACCCGAAGCATTTGGCATCAGAGGGACTTCCCCTCTTTATAACCCTCTAATGTTCTTTTTTCAGAAAGGGAAAAGGTGTTGACTGAACAAAGACAAAAGGATCATGGGCCAATTTTATTTTTTTCTTTATATTTCTATACTTGTCTTATAATCTCAAGATTAGCTAGATCAAGCAAATAATAGCTTCAGTATTATCACCAAAAAAAGTCCTCAAGGTATAAACTTGAATTAAAATAATTCCCAAAAGGTGTATATATAGATATATGGTATGTATATATGTATATAAAAAACTCTAATAATACTATAACATGTTCTTAAAGGTAATATTTGGCTAACACTTCACAATAAGGTCCTTTTTGTTAAGTTGCTGCATTAGCTAACATAGTAATCCTTTAATGTAAGTTAATAAAAACAATTCTTCACATTAGTTCACAGTGTATCAGCTAATGCTAACGGATACAGCTGGTATTTGGTTGGTACACTCTTAAAAATAAAGGTGCTTCACGATGCCATAGAAGAACCTTGTTGTCTAAATGGTTCCATAAAGAACCTTTAACATCTGAAGAACCTTTCTGTTTCACAAAAGCTTCTTTGTGGTGAAAAAAGGTTCTTCAGATTATAAAAAGGTAAGAAAGAGATGGTTCTTTAAAGAACCTTTGACTGAATGGTTCTTTGTGGAACCAAAAATGGTTCTTCTATGGCATCGCTTGAAGAACCTTTTGAAGCACCTTTATTTTTAAGAGTGTATTTGATGATATCATTTTTGGTTGATTTTGCTTTTAGAACAGAAAGAATGAAAAGGTATAGGCTAGCTGAGAAACTCAAGCAAAATTAGCTTAATGTAATAATGATGAGATAGTATGCAGTGTTACAAGTAAAACACAGTAATATTAGGGGGTTCCTTGGTCAGCTTAGCCTCTGGATCCCAATCATTGGTAAGAAACTGTTGATAGCTCAGCCGTAACATAATGTCCGTGTTAGTGACCTCTTGTGGTGCTTATGCATTTAAACCATAAGGGCATGTTGTCTCGTTACAGCCGAAAACGTAAAAGATAGAATAATCAACACTATTTACCTGACTGATTAGTGACTTAGCTCAATCATATGCTACAATCGTGCGTATAAACAAATAATAAAGACAACGTATGTATACATACACACGACTCCAAAGTTTCTAAGGATACACTCACTCACACATATAGCCTACATATATGCTGTATTTTAAGTCTTGTTATGTATTTTCTACATATAGATATATTCAGCATTCTGTGGTATTGTTCAAATACCGCACTGAGGCAAGGAAAAATGAGTAGAAATGAAAGATACAGGCATAAATTGAAGGCGGCGCGGTTTGGCTGCGCTGCAGAGCGCGAGCGCGTCTGTCTCTCGCGCTCTGGTCATTGTTACAAATTGTCGCATCTAGACGGCGACATAGAGCTCGAGTCTGCGAAAAAACAACAACATTTCAGCCTCTTTTCCTCCTGGCCAAAATGCCTGAGCACGTTTGAGTGACCATGGAGCGCGTTTGCCGTCATGTAGTGAAACGTTGACACACGGAGGATTTATCTCGGAGGAATGAAAGTTTAAAGAGCACCGGAGGAGGACAACATGGCTGTGCGGGAGGAAGGAGAGGGTTTGCACAGTAAAAGCAGACAGCACGATGGTGTTGGTGGCAATGCAAACAGCGCGGAGAGCCTCAGGAACGGCTATGTGAAGAGCTGCGTCACTCCGTTAAAACAAGACCATCCGAGGGGCTTTTTGTTCAACGTCTGCAGGCTTTGCAATGAGGATATCCTCAAGTCCAAACTATTCCGCGGCTCGGCTCTCTACGTGGGAGCGCTGGCAGTTCTGGCGCTCTCCTGCTTCATTTCTTGGAGCTTTCAGAGTGAACACGGCGTCTCGGAGCTGCGGACTTTACTCTTTGATTTCTCCCAGTCCATCAGTCCTTTATTCAGCCGCGCGTCTGTCTCTCGCGCTCTGGTCATTGTTACAAATTGTCGCACCTAGACGGCGACATAGAGCTCGAGTCTGCGAAAAAACAACAACATTTCAGCCTCTTTTCCTCCTGGCCAAAATGCCTGAGCACGTTTGAGTGACCATGGAGCGCGTTTGCCGTCATGTAGTGAAACGTTGACACACGGAGGATTTATCTCGGAGGAATGAAAGTTTAAAGAGCACCGGAGGAGGACAACATGGCTGTGCGGGAGGAAGGAGAGGGTTTGCACAGTAAAAGCAGACAGCACGATGGTGTTGGTGGCAATGCAAACAGCGCGGAGAGCCTCAGGAACGGCTATGTGAAGAGCTGCGTCACTCCGTTAAAACAAGACCATCCGAGGGGCTTTTTGTTCAACGTCTGCAGGCTTTGCAATGAGGATATCCTCAAGTCCAAACTATTCCGCGGCTCGGCTCTCTACGTGGGAGCGCTGGCAGTTCTGGCGCTCTCCTGCTTCATTTCTTGGAGCTTTCAGAGTGAACACGGCGTCTCGGAGCTGCGGACTTTACTCTTTGATTTCTCCCAGTCCATCAGTCCTTTATTCAGCATCGGGTGCGCGTATTTCTTCCTCACCCTCTACCTGAGGCGGACGAAGAGGGAAAGCAGCAGATGTTGGCTTTTGTCCTTACCAGCATCATGCTACTTGGGGGATTTGATGGTCTTGCGCTTGTTGCAGTGGGGAGAGGAGCACCATCAGATGCAAATGATGGGCAGGTTGCTGTTTGTGCTGGGCTGCGTGGGTCTGCTCACTCTCATCCCCACTCTCAAACTCAAACACAGCGTCCTGATCCTGGTCTTCGCCAGCATGGTGTGGCTGCTGTCCTTCACCAGCCTCGGCTGCCTGTCTCCGTCCCTCAGGCCGGTGCTGGCGTGTATGGCGGGGGTCTCCGGCACTCTGCTGGCGCTTTGTTTTGATCACTATTACCCACCGAGGGAGACGGCCGGCAGGATTCCTAACGCGGAGGAGAAGGTTCCCGTCATCAGACCCAGGAGAAGGTCCAGCTGTGTTTCTTTGGGAGAGACCTCCAGCAGTTATTATGGCAGTTGTAAGATGCCCCGCAGACCTTCTCTGCCCTGTATATCCAGAGAACAGGTAGGGGCTGTTCAGCAGTCCATCAACTCTGTTACCAGTTGATATATACCAACACATTCCTTATATGCACTATAAAACACATCACAAATCATCATACTCCTGATGCACACTCCTGACACTTCAAAAGGCAACATACACTCATAAAACTAAAGGTTCTTTCTTTGCATTTCTAGTTCCATGAAGAACTGTTAACATCCATGGAACTTTTCTATTCAACAAAAAGTTATTTATAGTGGGGAAAAAGGTTTAAAATGTTCTTCACATTAACAGAAAATGGTTCTTTGAAGAACAATTCACTGACAGGTTCTTTGGGGACCCAAAAATGATTCTTCTATGGCATTGCTGCGAAAAGCCCTTTTTGAAACCCTTAATTTTTAAGAGTGTACATTGCCATCCTAAACACACTCCTGATACCCCATCACACTACACCACGACAGCACACTCCTTATACAGCAATAATCCACAGAGTTTATATCATAAGTGTGATAGTATTAGTATTTTGTATACATTGTTGTTGGGCCAGGTCTTAATATTGGGTCAGTCACCTGTTGCCTAGCTCCCAAATGTATTTGGGTTTGATTGTTTCACTGTGATGGGGTGAGAACTTTTCTTTATTTGCTAAACATTTCAGTGTAACTTTGTTTGGTATTTTAGAGTGAACGCAGTGCACATTTCAGGATCAAAATTGCGTTTAGGCTTACTTATGTGAAGTTTTGGGTTGCATCCCCATGTTGTTCCAGTAGTCTGATACAGTTTTATTTTTAAAGATGAATATGTGTCCTGGCTGTAAATATATATTTGATCCTTTTTTTAACAAGTTTCAAGAGCACATTTAATGAAAATGTCTGTTTAGTAGAATCATAGTAATATTGCCTTTTCTCAGTACTACAGGAAAACATTTACTTTTCACCCACAAGACGTTATTTTACAGCACTCTTATAATGCTGCTCAGAATGTTGTGTTTGTATTGAAGTGAAACAAAACTTACACTATTAATCATTGATTCAAACACTTGAAAAGTGGGGCAGCGCTTGTCTCGGTGTCTGTGCCGTAAATAGAGTATAGAGTTTGAAATGTTTTCCTTTGATTGGCTCTTCTTTTGCATTCTTGTGTGAAGTAAAAAGGTTTAACAAAAGTATTTGGTTTATGTTATGTGTGTGTGAGATAATGGAAAATCAGCAGACTGTTTATTTAACTTTTTTAGACACATGCAATTTGTTATCTTTAAGTTGTATAAATATGGAAACTTTGTTAGTTCATTGAGTAGGATATGGTGCTTGCAGTTGTTTGATTTTTATTTATTTTTTAACGTCAAGCCCACATTGCCCAAAAAGTCGGCCCCAGCCAAGGGTAAAAGGTCATGTTTAAACACTAAATTCAAGGTCATCAAACATGTGCGGCAAATTAAATATACTGAAACATAGTGCTGGGTTTTCATGTAGTCATCCTGACTTGTTTCTGCACTTACATAAAGGCAGTATTTTACAGGACACATCTTCATCTTTAAAAAAAAAACTGTATCAGAGCTTTGCATGTTTTCACACCATTTATAAAGAGTTTAGTTCCTTCTTTACTTGGTTGCACATAAGGCCATTCACTTTGTGCTTCAAGTGATTTGAGTGTGCTTTGAATGAGTGCACTGTTCCAGTCACGCTCATGAATTGAGGTTTCAGTATGACCAGTTTCAGACATTATTTTGACCTGCAAGCACCTGTTCTTACTGAGCAGTAGCATCAGTTCTCCCTCACATGGGATCTGTAAGTTTGCACTCCATCTTGTCCTAGTTTGAATTGCGGCAGTATATAATTCTAGCTCCTATCTTTTGTTGGTGCTTATGGAGACAAATATATTCAAAATTTACTTTTGCATATGATGAGATGAGAGCTTTCACAATGCATGTTAGATAGGCCTGCCGCAATAATCTATATATCGACTTACCGCACAGTATATGTACATGACCTCAATCATTTTTGGTGATGCAATATATTGCCCATTATATTTACATAAAAATTAATGTCATCATGTTTTTTGCTTTCCACTTGCACCTGTGTCTTTTGCAGCTTCTCGAACATAACGTGGTGTAGTTGGTGCTAGTTCAAATTTAAAAAATGCTTCTACAAAAAAGTTGCTGCAGATATGGCCTTGTTTAGGGGTCTATGCCTTTGTGCATACGAACATCTGACTGCTAAGTAGGGATTGTGTTTTTCAGCAATAGTGTGCACCCTTAGTTTACAGGGAAAAGAAGGTCAGGGAAAAATCTGTAGATAGAAAAATCTTCATACACGACATTTGTGAATTTTTCTTGCATTTTTCTTGAAAGTGTGTTGGCCTTCTTGTATTATTATGCTTTTATATTATGATTATATATTCAGTGGCATAAAATGGTCTTAAAATGAAAATAATATTGTTTATCGCAATTATTTCTGGGGCAATATATTGCACAACAAAAAGTTGTTATCGTGACAGGCCTAGACTTTGCAATATTTGCCTACTATTCTTTGCAGAACTGCTCAAGTTCAGTTAAATTTGATGGTGACCGTTTGTGGACTGCAGTCTTCAAGTCATTTCATCAGATTTTCAATGGAGTTTAAGTCTGGGTTCTGCCTAGGCCATGCAAGGACATTCACCTTTTTCTCTTTCAACCACTGTGTGGTTAGTTTTGCTGTGTGCTTTGGGTCATTGTCATGTTGGAAGATAAACCTTCTTCACATTGACAACTCTCTTTTAGAGTTGCTGTAGGCCTCTTGGTAGCCTCTCTGACCAGTTTCCTCCTGGCTCTTTCATCCAGTTTGGAGTGACATCCTGATCCTGGGAGGGTCTGTGTTGTACCAAACCTTCCACTTCTTAATAATAGACTTCACTGTGCTTCTAGGCATTGATAAAGCCTTTGAATTTTTTTAAATCCATCTCCTGACTAGTGCCTATACACAACTTTATCCCGGAGGTCCTTTGACAGTGCCTTGCCACCCATAGTTAATTGTTTGCTTCAATTGCACTACCAAGGACTGAAATGCTCCAGGAAAGCTCTTTTCATGCCGAGATTTTGACCTGCAAGCACCTGTTCTTATTGAGCAGTAGCATCAGTTCTCCCTCACATGGGATCTGTAAGTTTGCACTCCATCTTGTCCTAGTTTGAATTGCGGCAGTATATAATTCTAGCTCCTATCTTTTGTTGGTGCTTATGGAGACAAATATATTCAAAATGTACTTTTGCATATGATGAGATGAGAGCTTTCACAATGCATGTTAGATAGGCCTGCCGCAATAATCAATATATCGACTTACCGCACAGTATATGTACATGACCTCAATCATTTTTGGTGATGCAATATATTGCCCATTATATTTACATAAAAATTAATGTCATCATGTTTTTTGCTTTCCACTTGCACCTGTGTCTTTTGCAGCTTCTCGAACATAACGTGGTGTAGTTGGTGCTAGTTCAAATTTTAAAAATGCTTCTACAAAAAAGTTGCTGCAGATATGGCCTTGTTTAGGGATCTATGCCTTTGTTCATATGGACATCTGACTGCTAAGTAGAGATTGTGTTTTTCAGCAATACAGTGCACCCTTAATTTACAGAGAAAAGAAGGTCCGGGAAAAATCTGTAGATGGAAAAATCTCTATACAAGTTATTTGTGAATTTTTCTTTTTTCTGCTTGTTACTTTTTCTACTTGTTTTATTTACTGTTTATTCAAGTTTTTTTAAGGTATCTAATATTGTGATACTTAATTTCCATGATCTAAATATTCTTAAGAATTAAAAGTTTGTTGTCATTTTAAAGTGTTTTGGCCTTCTTGCATTTTTATGCTTTTTTATTATGATTATCTTCTTAAAATGACAATAATATGGTTTATCGCAATTATTTCTGGGGCAGTATATCACACAACAAAAAGTTGTTATCGTGATGGCTTATGCATAGAACTACAAAAAAATTTGAGTCGTCAGTCCATTAAATATTTACGCCATTCATGCATTTTTTAAAATTCATCTGTGCCCTCATCTCATCAAAAGGGAGCTGGAGAAGTGCACTTAAAAGTGGCACATTGAACACAAACGTCAATGTGTGTGCTCCAATTTAAATTTTTAGTGAAGGAAAATTGTTGTACAGTGAATTTTCAATAGGTGTGTTTGTGCAACTTTACTGTCTCATTCTCATTTTGAGTCATGAGCCCCTTTCACTCATTCAGTCTTTACTGGTAAATTACCGGTAAATTACGGTTAAGAGATAATGTGTGAACAGGAACTTTTTGAAAATACTGATAAATTTGTTCCAGCAAAAATAACGTTACCAATAAATTACCGGTAATACGCTCTTGTGTGAACGCAGCACAAGATTACCGGTATGAGCACGTACGAGTTCAGAATGTAAGACGTCTACTCCGGGCCAATCGTAACATTCTGACGCAGATGACGCATTTACTCAAAACTTACACTATTAATCATTGATTCAAACACTTGAAAAGTGGGGCAGCGCTTGTCCCAGTGTCTGTGCCGTAAGTAGAGTATATAAATGTTTTCCTTTGATTGGCTCTTCTTTTGCGTTCTAGTGTTAAGTGAAAAGTTTTACCAAAAGTTTTTGGTTTATGTTATGTGTGTGTGAGATAATGGAAAATCAGCAGACTGTTTATTTAACTTTTTAGACACATGCAGTTTATCTTTAAGTAACTTTGTTAGTTCATTGAGTAGGATATGGTGCTTGCAGTTGTTTGATTTTTATTTATTTTTTAACGTCAAGCCCACATTGCCCAAAAAGTCGGCCCCAGCCAAGGGTAAAAGGTCATGTTTAAACACTAAATTCAAGGTCATCAAACATGTGCGGCAAATTAAATATACTGAAACATAGTGCTGGGTTTTCATGTAGTCATCCTGACTTGTTTCTGCACTTACATAAAGGCAGTATTTTACAGGACACATCTTCATCTTTAAAAAAAAAACTGTATCAGAGCTTTGCATGTTTTCACACCATTTATAAAGAGTTTAGTTCCTTCTTTACTTG